GTCCTGGGTCACTATCAGTAAAGCAGGACGTGGTGTGGGGGGCCTCAGAGGGTCCTTCCAGCCCCATGGTCACCCTCTGTGACCCCAAGACACCTGTCTGCTCAGACCTGAAGAATCTGTGAAGGGGGAGGTTCTGGGAGCAGGGTCCCGAGATTTTGATGGGTTCTGGTTCCGCTTCAAGCTGGTCTCTGATTCCCAGAATCACATGGGTTTGTTACGTTCTTCTTTGGGGGTCTGAGGGGATGATACAACCTCTCTGAAGGCTGAGAGGGACTGGTCCCAAGATGGGGGTGTGAGAGGGACACAGGCCCATCCTCGGGTCTGAGGGAGACATGGTCCCACGCTGGGGTCGGAAGGGGGATGACCTGCCCTGAGGTCTGGGGGGAAGCACCCTGCCCTGGAGTCTGAGGGGACATGATTCTGCTCTGGGGGCCTGAGGGGACACGGCCCTACCCTAGGTCGAAGAGGACATGAGCCCTTCTGGAGTCTGAGGGGACACAGCCCTGACGTGGGGGTCTGAGGGGACAGCCCTGACCTGGGGGTCCGAGGGGACATAGCCTGACCTGCATAATTCCAGTCTGAGGAGAAAAAACCCAAACCAAACTCACTGTCATCCAGTCAGTTCCAACTCATAGCAACTCCCACAGGATTTGCAAGCCTGTAAATCTTTACAGAAGCAGACTGCCTCATATTTCACCCACTGAGCGGCTGGTGGATTCAAACCACTGACCTTTTGGTTAGCAGCCCAATGCCTTAACCACAGCGCCACCAGAGCTCCCTCCTGAGGAGGGAGAAGGGAAAATGTTGCCCAGGCCAGCAATGGGTTTGGGATGGATCCTCATCCCACGTGGGTCCCCCGGTGGGGCAGAGAGGCTTGTCAGTCTGAACAGCCATGACTCATGTCCCCCTCAGCACCCTCTCCTCCCTGCCCCCAGCTACCTCTACCCAGACAGGAAGAACCAGAACCCGGACCTGACTGAACTCATCCAGAGGGAGCCCCACCAGCACATGCACGTGTCTGAGGTGAGACCATCCTGTGCCCGTGGTCCTGCTCACGGCTCCTCCACACAGTTTGCTCCAACTCAGGACTCCTCCCCACGGCCTCAGGCCCTGGACTCACCAAGGCCTTGTCTTGGAGTGCTGGCTAGGCAGCTGTGTGGCTTTGAGCAAATCACTTTCCCTCTCTGAGCCTCAGCTCATCGCCTAGAGAATACGATTCCTCCTTCCCAGGGGTTATCATGGGGCAAAAACAAGGAACCATTGCTGGACCATCAGA